GACTTGGGGTTTGAACTCACAACAGCCATGTAAACAGATATGCTTAGCCAAAACTTATCCACCAGGTCACACTGTTCCATAGGATGATCAGGTGGTGGTAACTTGGAGGTTTATTCTAACAGATAATGGAAATGTTATTTCCAATTCAGTTCTTCTGCTGGAAGAATGCTTGATGATGGGTTCACCACCATCTTCATTAATGGCAAACACACATGGAATAGTAAAATTTCAGTGAAATGACTTTAAGAACAATGCCACTGATGTTAGATATATAAATGAGCACTTTGTACTTTACCATCATCAAGAACATGTGCAAGTACTGCTGAACCATGTGAATTTGATATAATAACTCTCTTAGTATATATGGGTTCATGTCTTTTGTATAGCATTAGACAAGATTTAAATTTCATCCCCCTCCACCCAATCTAAGTAGTGTGAAGAGAAGGATTTGGAACAAAATTTATAAATCGTGACCCAGGCACTTAGAAACACCCTTCAAAGTAACTACTCTGCAAGCATAGCATTGGCTTCTGTAAGCAGGGCTGTAAGTGTCATTGGAAAATGTTCACCATTTGTCTACCTTACATCAGAGGCATGTCTGAGAAAAAAAAAAAAAAAAAAAATTAGGCAATCTGTGGTCCATCCATCATCAGGACAGTATTGGGGAGCTCTTGCTTGAACCAAGCTGTTCTCTTCTAAGAACTTTTTCTTCTATTCCATGCAGTTGTGGTAGAGGGTACAAAGGTGAGGCCAACTAACAATAAGGTTGGGGGTCCATCTGCAAATGATGAAAATGATTTAATTCTATATGGGGACATCACAGGAAGTTTAGGAAATTGACAGAACTTGTGCACATACTGGGCTCTAAGGGGAGTGGAATGAGTGAATAGCTGTGAGAAAAATGAAGATGAAACCCCAATAGTCCAAAGGTAACTGGAATATAATATCTGAAAAATTACATTCTTTGGGGGAAAAAAAAAAAAAAAAAAAGACTAATTTTCTTTCCTTTTATTTCAGACCAAAAGAAGAGCAGTCATCAAATGTTCGTGATAAATCCTCAGATGGCCCCATAGCAAAAAAACATGCTGGAGATAAATTTGCTGGTGAAAAGAAAATCATAGCGGTGGAGAAAAAGAAAAAAGAAAAGAAGAAAGTACTGAAGAGATTATGATAGCTATTTAATACCTTGTACAGACTGTGAATAAATAGACTCACTAATGCGTCGTCCTCCTTTCTCTCTATATCTCCATACTGACACCCTTTTTTTTTCTTTTAAATTATATATATAAATACACACACATATATATATATATATATATATATATATATATATATATATATATAATTTTTCATAATATGCCATGAATTGGTGAAAGACGGTCTACTTCCCACTGACAGACAACTGTGTGTCAAGAAAGATGTGCATATATGTATTGCTCGCTCTCTCTCTCTCTTTTTCAACAGAACCTCCAACCGCACACAAATTTACCTGTCGAATCTCATTCTGTTATTCTTTGAATTTTTTTTTTTTTTTTTTTAAATCTACTTCATTTATTTATTTATTTTTTTTTTTTAAATCTGACCTTTTTTTTTTTTTTTTTTTTTTTTTCTTTCTCTACCCCTGCTTCCATGCAGCCACTACTGGTGAGCAATTTCAACAAGCCATATGAGGATGATTGAATTTCCTTCCTTTCTGGCTATGAGGAATGCACAAACCCCAGTGCACATATGCAATGTCTGTCATCATTGTAGCTGTGTTTTCCCCAGTCCCTTCTCCAATTACACACAGACTGGCCAAAGACAGTGTGTCTGACAGTGAGTGTTGTCATCACCATATGATTTTAATAAAGTTTCAGGCAACATTTAAATTATTTTTCTTTTCTTTTTTTATTTGAAAACAATTATTTGAGATTCTAATTTCCAAATTTTTCCTTGTTCAGATCTTTATTTAACTTATCATCATCAGAAGGCATTTCTTATTTTGCTAATGCTACTGTTTCACTATTGAAATTCTTCTTCCTATCTACATCCTAATCAACATTCATCATCGTTATTCTATTCCTCCATTAGTGAAAATAATAAAAAAGCATTAAAGTCAATTTGTTGGTGGTGTTTGTTTTGACCTACAAACTAACCTGGGTCAATACCTGGCTTTTTATAAGTGTATGGGTCAGTTTCATCCTCAATTGGTGCATAAAGAAATATCAAACAAACCTCAAGTTCACTGACAATTTCCTCGGCTAAATTTTGGTTGACATGCTTCTGAGTGACACCCCATTTATTTTCTTTTTTTTTTTTTCTTTTAAATGTAACTTTTTTTTTTTTTTTTTTTTTTTTTTTTTTTGTGCTTTGGAGGATAACTTTTTTAAAACTTTAATAAAGATTAAGGGTATTACTCTGAATGAATGCCCAGGTTGCAATGTTTCCATTTTTTTTATTATATTTTTAACCCTATTTGAAATATATAATTAACATTTATTCAGAGAAAATGGCTTGCTGCTCTTTTGTTTTTAAATTATTTAAAATGAATAGGTTTTGTGATGGCTAACATTTGTAGGGTTTTATGAGCAAAGATTGTTTGCCAGTGTCAGACAATTACCATGTATGTTATGTAGATGACACCTTTTGTATTTAATAGCAAGGTGGAGGAGGGGGTTTCATGAAGTTTTTGAATGGTTTACACCTGACTCTCCATTTCACTTGCAAAAAGGAGAGCAATGGTGTATTATCATTTTGGATAGGTTGGCACAAAAAAACCCACAACAAACTTCTAAGTTTGTGACATCTGTGTACCGAAACCCACGTTTATAGGATTATATACTCCCTGAGATTCATTTTGTCCTAGACCATATAAAATTATAAAACACTTAGTCCATCAGGTTTTATTGATCTGTTCAAATTATTAGAAAAATGTTTTGTGAGCAGCATTACTAAAATTGTTGCACAGTTCCAAAAGTTAAAAACTTTTGATCCCAAAAAATGTTGTGTATATCTTAGATTGGTAGTTATTTTTCAGTTAATTCATGCATTATATTGATGTTCTCTTCTTGACCTCTGTTGAAATATATTAAAAAATGTCCTGCCTATCTTTAGTTCTGTAATTTACCAATTTATATGTCAGTATGAAGCTGACTACATAAATAGGAACACTCATCTGCTAGAGAAGAGAATTGCTCAATATGTCTTGGTGTATTAGAAAGAGTTGACTAGATAATTTGCATGAGTGAAAAGAATATTTCTCAGTGTTGAGATCACATTCCAACTATCATTTAAAAGTCTTTGAAACTTTTTTATTTTATTAAATGAAGACAACCTTCCTTATGTGAACAGAAATGGTTGTTAGGTTGAATGTGATTTATTTAAATATACATGTCTCGCTATATTATTTATTGATAAACACACTTCTTGATGTTTCCCTTTTTAGTTAACTTGCACAAAGATTTTACTTCCTACAGTTGACTTCTGATGAATGAGGAGTAATAAGAATTAGCTCATTCTAGGATTTTTGTTTTCTTGCTCCTAATTCCATATTACCAACTACTGTTTTTGTTGTTTTCCCTTTTGATTATATTTTCTACCCTCTAAAAAGATCATCAATTATTTTCTAGCCAGCCATTTTATTTCCACTCCAGAATTTCGAACGAGCATTTTTTTTCTTTTATAAGCATTTCATAGAATTGAAATCCTTCCTGCCTTTTATGATCTTATAAGAAAAGGTACCATCATCTTTAACATCATTTTATTTATATATATATATATATATAGAAAAATTTCAGTTAAAAAATTCTATCTTCATCCTTGTTAACTATTAAACATCCTTTAAGAATTGTTATATCCAGTTGGAAGGAAAGTTTTTTTTTGCAGTTTCTAAATAAATTTAATTTTCTCCAAACCATAAGAACTTTCCTTCCAAGCAGATATAATAGTTTGTCTTACATGGAAGTGTAGAAGCAATCTTTGGTTTAATAAATTTTACAATAAAAAATCCATTCCTAAGGATAAGGAATTAATATTGATTCTTAATTTGGATAGTTATTGGATAACTATAACATGACTAACTAGAAATGACTCAGCTGTTATCAATTTTATTCCTTGGAATAAAAAAAAAAAAATATCAAAAGTGAATCCTTGTGATAACTTTGACTATTGCAATTTTTTTTCTTTTTCAAATTTCCTCTGATTTTTTTTTCGTAAGTCATTTAAATGGACACTGGATATGAAATCAAAACCTTTTCCAACTTAGAGAGAGGATGCAAGTTTAGCCATCTTTATTGCATAAAATGAAATGCTTTTTATTTATACCAGGATGCAAGAGAAAACTTTTTTTTAATGTGCATTTCACACACATCAATGCGTCTATAAAATATAAATTGTTCGAAACCTTTTGATACTTGGCTAGCACTAAATCACAAGTCATGACAGACTGTCTTCTGAACTTGTTCAACTATTGATCACACCAGATGATTAATTTCTTTTTTTCCTCATGGTTGCAGTGGAATCCACAGATTGCCTCTGGGAGTGTTGAAGAAAAACACAAACACATACACCTGTTTGAGTAAATATCTGCAATAGTGTTTATCTAGGTCATCCTAGAAGATGGGTGTACTCAGAAACAAGCAGCCTGCCATTTTCTTTTCCCTATATATATATATATATATATATATATATATATATATATATATATATATATATATATATATATACTATGTTTACATGTACCTTAAGAAAAACTTTTAGAATTCTAACAATTTAATCTTTTCAACACCACATTTGGAATGATCCACTCCTATGGCCTTTAGGAATCCCGTCCATTTTGAGAAGGAAGATTTTTTTTTTTTTTTTTTTTCCTAAGCCGTATCAACACGGCTCCCTTATGTTGGTGGACTTTGCAGTCGGAATGAATTAAATTTTAGAAATGTTTATAAAGAAGTATAATAAAATGATTTATTACTATGATATTAACAATGATTTGGATTGTCAAAGATGAATGCAAATATAATTTATACTTCAAATTTATCTGCACAGATGCTATGTCCATATTCATCATACTGTTGTTTTGTGACAACCATTGATGAAAATTTGGGGTCAGAAGCCAGGGCAACTCCACCCTGCCAGGAATAAGTCTGTGGACTGTAAAAGAAAAAAATAAATTATACAGTTTTATAGGTTGTTTTTTTTTTTTTTTTTTTTTCAAATAGAAATATCTTGAGTATTAACAAATATAGTTTGTAATTGTTTGGTGTAAAACTATAATTTCTATTATTAATGTCCAGATAATAATAATATTTGTATGCTTTGAAAAGGGAAATATCACAGAAACAGTGTTTCTCCTCAAAATATACTTATCAAAGTATTTTGTCAATTTTGTTTTTCTTTAGATGACCCAGTGTCACGTACAATGAAAATACCAATTTTTTTTTTTTTTTTGTTAGCAAAGATTGTTAAAATAGACATTAATTATGTTTTATTCGACTTTGCTTTAAGAAGTTCTGTAGAATGAATTAGGCTTTGTTTCTGTTCAACATCATCAGGAGGAAAGTTTTACTTCATAACTCAAATTTCTATGGGCGTGCTGTTGATATTTCCAAAATCCGAGTTCCTTCATTTGTTAATATCGTCATAATAGAGGTAAAATTAAAACTTGGGTCACTCAAATTATGCATGCAATCATTTTTTGTGTCTCAGTAGAGCTACTAATTACAATAATTGTAATATCTTAAAGAGATGTCAGGCAGCGAAATTCTTCCTACAGTCAATTTGAAATAATGTCGAAATTCTGATCAAACTTACTTGCTGGGTACTGTCACATGGAGATCATATTCAGTTGGTACAAGGCATCTTACTTCTTTGAGGCTAAAAAAAACAAAAAGAACATTTAAGTGCATTGTTAAAAAATTTATTCCACAAACGGTATGATTTCACTTTGTAAAGGTTTACAATGGAGCTAACAGCTTTTACTGCTATGGCTTGGCCAGGTAGGTGGCCCAAGGGTTCATTAATCAACTTTTTGCCTTATCAACCATCATGTTGGTAGGAAAGGCTTACCTGCCTAGAAAATCAGTACCTAAAATACTGGCTTTTAAAATCTGACCTCTCACTTTTTCTAGCCACATTATTTTTTTTTTAATCTCAACATTCCTTTATTTTTCTTTCTCCTTTTAGTCAAAAAAAAAAAAAAAAAAAAAAAAAATTTTTTTTGTCAATTGAAAAAACTAGAAAAAATAGAAATTTAAAAAAAAAAATTAAATTTTATTTTTTACTAGATTTTATGATTGCTTATCACAACATTCAATTGATCTCATTTTACAGCCAATTTAGTTTTTGTTTAATAAGCAAACAGCTGAGATGAGAAATAAATAACCTTTTGATGAGTTTTGAATTTGCATCCAAGAAAACTGAATATTTTTTTGAGTAAACAATATGGCATGAATAATTAGATAAAGAAGATTATAGATGGGACATTCTTCAAATTGAGTGAAAGTCCCATTACTTCCAAATTTTGTTTTATTAACTGATTCTGTTGGGGAGAAAATTACCTTTGCCAGTTACTGACAATAAATTACTTTAAAGTAAATCTTTTTAAATATTTATTACTGAGAACGTGTATTATATCAGGTATCCCAAACTAAAATTTTTTTTCAATGTCTAAAAATTTTTTTAATACAAACAGAAAGTTTGACAAAACCTAAGAAAATGGTACTAAATTTATCTTGATAGTTCATTTAGCAATCAAGTTATGACTATTCAAATTTTATCAGGTTTTCAGTTTTGTGCACTATTGGGCCAGAAACCAATTTCAACAGCATATAACTGAAGAATTGGGATTCAAACAAGTGAAATATCATTATAAATGTAATGTCATAGGTAGTCTTGAAGTAAAAGGAAGATGATGTTAATGGAATCAATAATTATTAGATCCAATCAGCTTAAACATTTGTGGTGACAAGATTAATGTGTTTACCAAAATTCGTCATAGTCTGGGAAGTATTTAGTGAACTATTCCCCAAAATGTCTGGAACCAGAATCTGTCCAGAGTCACTTTTGGAAGGGCAGTTGAAGGTACTTTTGAATATGGCCATGCTCATTTCTAACAGGAAGGTTTTCGTGGAAAGATAATATCTATTAATGTCACAGACAAAAGTCTATATAAGTTAGAGCCCACATTTGCTTAGTTTGGGCCACAGAATTTTTTGCTGTGTCTAGAGAGAACTCTGTTTTCCTTTATTCAAGCTGGAGGAATCACTAAACATCTAACTTTACAGTTAACCCTTCTCAATACAAAATCTTAGTAGAAATCAACCAAGAGAAATTGTAACCTTTGACAGCAAATGTCAATTTTTTTTTTTTTTTGTTTATTTTTCTGTAATTTTGTTTGCCTTTTGAGAAAGTCTCCAGATCAACAAAATGACAGCCTGCTAGAATGATCAAAGGAATTCTTTGATAATTACATTCTAACAGATGCACAACAAGAAACCACTAGACATCCACATCTGGAGACCAACAACAGATGAAAATGCTGAACAGATGAAAACAGCCACATTTGTAACATGTTATGCCTCATCTGGTATTTCGTGCTTGAGACTATAAGAGGTGATATTAGGCACTGCAACTGAATGTAGATGTACATGTAATATCTTTTGTTATAGATATGTATCTAATTTTGGAAAATCTTGTGAAATTATGCAATTTCTGACTTGTAATGGCTACAAATGTGAGAAATTTGTTTCATGAAATGAATCATTGGTCAATCCTTCAAACAAATGCTTCTTGTAAAGCTTTAAACTCATTTATCTTGAAACTAAAAGAATGAAATAAAAATACATTTGTTGGAATTGATGAAAAAGACTTTCTGGACAGTTGGAATTTCCTTTTCTAATGATGATTTGCAGTTTGAATTTGTTAAATCTTCTAAGTGAGTGTCAAATTTCCCAAGTCTTCTTTATTATTTGTCTCAGAAATTTCAACCGTCTTTTTTTGATTCTATAAGTTACCCATTTTGTTTCCATTTTCTTTAAAACTTCCTTGTTGCTTACATTCTTCGTCCATGGTATTCTTGGCATAACAAGTAGAACCATATCTCTGTTGCCTCAAGTCTCGTCCATGAGGAAATTGTCCAATATTCATTGGCATATTTTACTTCATCTTTTAAATGTGGTAGAAATTTTCATCATTCAATTCATCTGCAGCTAATGGAATGAACATTTGTTTTTCTATTTGTGAGTCACATTAAATTGAACATTCAAATTTTAATTGAAGCAAGAATATTTGTCACGCTGTTTACCTTCCATTCTAATCTACTGGGGTTGTTTTGTATCAAAATAGTCTCTAAGGAACATTTTAGAAATACAATGAACTTGACAACTTTAGTAAAAAATGAAAACAAATAAAGAACGTCCAGCTGTGTTCTAACACTTCCTTTACTCTTGCAAATCAGTGCATTGTAAATGAGACTCATTGATTGGAGACAAATATACAAACAACATGAAGGGGTTGATATTTTAGAGATTCAGCCCAAGTCTTGACATTGGAAAGATGTTAGGGTGAAACATCTCTTTATGGAATCCTCTAACAAACCCCACCCCTGGGATGGTATTAAAATGCAGCAACAATAAATTGTAGAAAGATTTTACTTACAATCTATCTTTAAATCCTGGTAGAAAACAGTTTCCTCCAGTGAGAATGATATTACTGAGAAGATGTGGATGGATTTCTGAGGAAAAACGAAAATAGTAAGTAGACAAGAATAAGAAATTTTTTTTTAAATCAGAATTTCTATCAGAGCCTCAGACATGATAAATTGTTATGTGAAAGAATTGAATCTTTTTACTGAAGAAGAAAGGACATATTTCCATTAAACATCTCAATTGTTTGTTTATATTGTTTTATTTGACAGATCAGAAGTAAAAATGTCTTTCTGCATTCGTTTAAAATGAAGAACACCTTTCTATCCATACAAGATTTTAGTGTCATGTAATGGAAAAAAAAAGTAAAAAGAAATTTGGTCTAATTGTGAAATTTCTCATGTTAAAGGCTTTAGTAATTTCTTAAAATCTATCAAAAATATTTAGATTTGGTTTGAAAACTAATAACGTGTGAAAATGATAGTCACCATGTAGGGTTGAGTCCTATGTCCACACTGTCTATATTTACAAATCCTCTATCTCTAATATTAAGCCTATAAATATAGCAAAAACATCCTCTTCTCCCTTCGGCTATGGGTAAATAGCAGGACAGACAAGGTTCTATAGCCTTGGATGGCAACTAGTCTAGGAGAAGGACAACTCTGAATTCAAAACCTGCGGAGGATTGTTTGGGCACGTTGTGGACCAGGTCTCTGTATTTGGCCCTTCAAAAAGTGTGGATGGTTCTGCACAAAACCTTCACTATAATCAAATGTGCTGGTGTCTAGCTTTCAGTTCCTAGGAACTGAGTTGTTTCACTCTCTTACATGGAATACAATGGGAGAGTCAAAATATATATATATATATATATATATATATGTGTATGTATATGTATATGTAAAGTAGCGCACAGCTAGTTTTGTGAACTTGCCAGGATACAAACATGCATGAAACTCAGAGTTGTACCAAACAGAGTAACCTAATGTATATTTGTATATTTATCATAAGTGTGTGTGTGTATATATATATATATATATATATATATATATATGTGTATATGTGTATATATATATATAGGGCTAAGAATATATCTACATATACGTATTTTGAGGCCAACTGAGAAAAGAAAAAATTGTTCAAATTTTGGCAAGTATGTTGGGATAAGAACTTTTCAGTACTCCCTTCTGTATTCTGTTATAAAAAAAACTCAGTAAGTTTTCACGAAAACCAAACAGTAAGTTTTCGTTTTCATTATTAAAATCTGTTATTTGAATAGAATTATTGACTGAACAGTTAAAAAAGCATTTACCTTCTGGAACGAGGGTCAAAATATAAGCTACCGTTTCAGCCAGGCCCATCTCTTCAATGCCAATGTTAGACGGATGGAATAAGATTTCGGGAACAGCAAAACGTTCATTGTTTACTTTGATTAACTGAAAGTGAACAATTGTTGAGTAAAATATAAAGTACTTTACAGCTGGGGAAGAACAGAGGGATTTTAATTCAGCAAGGAGGATGTTAAACCAATCAATTGTCACAAATGTCATTTTGCTAAGACATCAAAATGTATGTAGAAAATGGAGCCAACTGACCTGTTCATTGCTGCTGGGTTTTGTATCAGTTTCTTCTGCAGGTTTCATATAACCTCGATGGATAGTTGTATAATCAGGGAGAATGTAATCACGCCAGATTGTATTATCTTTGCCTTTGGACCTATCAAAAAGAATAAGAAAAATGTAGATGGTCTTTAAAAAACTGTAATTGAATTTATGTCTTCTCAAGTATCAGAATTAATTGAATCCATTTAGTTGAAGATTTGGGGAAAAAAGTTATATTGTATAAAATATTCTTTCATAAAAATTTGCAAAACGTTATTTAAATATTGATATTGAATAAAAACCATTATAATTCAATTTTTCTTTTCAAATTAAAATAAAAACTGTATTTGATATTTTCTAAAAATACATATTTATGGCAAATTTTTTTTAAACGTCCATCAAAACTGAATGTTTATAAACTGCTGTTAGACAATGAAAAAGTAATACACATTTCAATGCTTTGCTTTCTGAATGTAACATATATACTAGAGTATAGTGTGAGTTTTTATGCAAAGAATAGAGGGTTGCACTATACACAGGTAACTTTTTTGAAAGAGGTTAAAAATCATGCATTTTTCGTGACTGGTTGCACTATACACAAGTAAATTTTTTTCTGGAGGGGCTAAAATTCATGCATTTTTGATGACCATAACATACCTAGTAGACCTACATTCTCACAGTACCTTTGACTAACCATAATGGTACAGATAAACTCCTTTAGCCTGCATCCCACACAAAATTCATCCTTTTTTTCTGTTGCGACATCAACAGCAGAATGTCATCCACCGTGTGTGCCACTTTATAAAAATAAGTGTGTGTGTATTTCTTGATTGTACTGAGAACTTTTCAGCACCTCACTGTAAAAAACTTCAAGACCAATTTGAATCCAAGCAGGTTTGCCGGATTGGGTGGGTGGATTTGTTTAGTTTTTTTTAAATTTTACTACTTGTGACTTTTTGTGTTACTTTTAAAATGAGTTTGGAAAGCTTGGGTTACAAATAAGAAAGTCAATTGAAAAACTGATGCAGAAGGTATAGGAATTGAATATGGGTTTAGTTGTCTCAGATAATTAAGTTTCTGATACAAGCACAAAACATTTTATATATTTCATTATTTTTAAAAATATTACCAAAATTTGAAAGCTTTAAAACAAAAGTCATGTATTTTTATTCAGAAAATCATATGTTGTGTTAGTGTTTGAAGCATTTAATAATGATAAATGATTTCATGATGAAAATTGAGTTAATGTTGCATCTTTATGCAAGTTATGGAAGCTTTATCATAGTGAGTTTAAAAAAAAAATTGGGGAGGGGAGAAACTATTTTTGAAGTAAATGTAATTTGTCTTCTGCTATTCCCAAGAAAATCAATCAGAATTGGCAATTATTATTTGGTGAAAGATAAATTTTGCACATTTTACCTTGCAATTTTCATGTCTTTGTTAAAATCCTGTGCCACATAGCAAACATCTTCCTTCAGTTGGTTAATCACATAAGTTTCATCCATTACCATCAACTGCCTAAAAATATAAGAACAACGAATTGGGTGTGAAATTCTCTCTTTGCATTTCAAAAGTTAGAAATGTTTTAAAATTATTAATTCACAGAAAGAAATCATTTAAAATATTTCATTTTTTTTTCAGTTATTAAAAAGTTCCTTGATTGCAGGTATCAGTAAATTTCTGTCTTGTCTTTTTAAATGTTTACCAATAATGGCCACAGAATAACAAACTGCAATAAAAAGCAAGAGAAATAATAGGAAAAAAATAATAATAATAAAAATTAATAACTGACACTGATTTAGTGAAGAATTTCTAGGATTGTTAACATGTTCCAATGATCATCTTTTAAATTCTATTGGTAACTTTCATTCTTGGATTTTTGAATGAAGTTAAAAATATGAATTTTATTCCAACAACTGAAAATATTTCATACATGTTTTTTCCGCTTTGTTTTAAATATTGTATAATAACCATGTATGTCTGAATGTTGAATCTTGTCTACAAAGCTGGCAATTGTATTTGGAAAGGGAACAAAATCTGCTAATAAAAATTCCAAGTTAAAATTTGAATTGAAAAAGAACAGGTCGAAAGAATTAGGTTTAACAACATTAGAAAGTAGGAGAGACTGAAGTGACTTATGAGAAATGTTTAATATCATATGTGGGTTTTGAATCACCTGATTGTAACAAATTCTTTATGAGAAGTATACTATCTAAATAAATGAATGCAGATTAAATATCAGGACAAGTTCTTTTGATTTGTCAGTCTGGAATTGTTTGTCACAGGATGTGATTCTCAGATGTTGTCATTTTTAAAAAGAATTCTGTTCAGGATTACAACACCACAAGTGATTAATGAATTGTATTTGATGTGTGCTTATGTATATATAGATTTGGATGACGTTTTGTTCTAATAAATGTTTTTTTTTTTTAGTATATATCAAAAAAATATTTAACTATTTTTTTTCCTTCACTTGGTCAGGAATAGGTTTCTTTTTGAAGGATTTTATTAGCCATTTAATAGAAGATAAAACGAATTAACTTGATCAGTAAAATAAGTTATAATATAGATTCGAGTGACGCTAAATATAATTAACTCAAACAAAATTTGAATGAAGAAAGCTTTCAGTTTTAACCAAATTGATTATTTTGTGCAGTTTCATTTATTTAGCAAAGGGAGATAACAATTAAGGGGAAATAACTTAATACAGGCAATTTGTAGTTGTTGAGCGTCATCTTTATCAGGTAACTAGGATATGTATTATGGATATCCGCTCGGAATGAGAAATTGTTGAACCGAGTTCAAATTCCAATCGGGTTCGTTACATTCACTTACGCGTAAGATATAAATCCATCTTTTCTGCTCCAGCTATGGGTTGAATAGCAGAACAGACTGGGACCTATAGCCTTGGTTGGCAACCAATCTACTGTGAAAAGAAATGACACCCTACCATGGGAAAATCTTCTGCCTAGTCAGTCTTGAATCAAAAGAGACATGATCACCCAAGCATGTATCACGTATGCCATTTAACTGACTGAGTCACACACATTGATTTGCTAGTGTTCGGAGTTCAAGCCTCACGAAGTAAACTGCTATGGTGACTGCATGTCAGACTAAGCTGACTAATTATCCAGATTTTTTATTGTCTTACTTTTCCTTTCTAGTCATCCTAAAAGTTATGAAATGTTCAGAGCATTCCAAAGTAGATTAAATTCAGTTTCCTTAAAAACCAAAACAATAGATGCTCACTTTTAAAAATAAATTTTGTCCACAAATGTTACTTGATATTCTGAAATGAAACATTGTCCTTTGATTCAAGCAAAAGTGAACAGTAAAAAACAATTGATACATGGACAGTAAATCGTTCTAAATTAGCATGAGAAGAAATTAAAGAAAAAAATAGAAAGAAAGAAAAAATGCTCATGACAATGATTCAATGGAAATTCAAACATAATGAATTGATTTCTAGCTGAGATTACATCCAGCAAAAGAAGAATTCTTTGTTAATATGTAAATTATCAACAAGCTTGATAATTTTTGAAATGGAGTTACTTATTCATCATTTTCAAAATTACTTATATTTCAACAGTAACTAAATAATATTAAGATGTTTTCTTTTTCTAACTGGTTGGAAAAAAAGAAATAGCTTTGAAATAATAAAGGAGAAAAATACACAGAATTGAAAATGAAGGTAAGAATTGCTGAAATAAGAAAATAAAGACAAATCTCAAAATGGCATTTCCAATTGACATTATTATAAGAGAAAGTAGTTGTATCCATGATATCAAGGTTAGGATGAATTAAGCTTGTATGTCAAACATTTAAAAATTATAAAAGTAATGATACAGTCAATAAAAAGACAGAAAATAACTGGAAATTTTTCACTTCTGAAGAGCAATGTTAAAGAAATCTATAAAAAAGTTGATTATTTGTCTATGTTATAATTTAAAGGCTTACAAACATAGAAAGGCTTGCAATTTATGTACCCTGCTTCTTACAGGAGAATTTGTAAAGACACACTTTTGGTGAGTGCAAGAAAATGAAAGTTACATAAAGAGTATTGAGAGAATGAAATGTTCAGGTTTATAAGTAAAAAAAAAAAAATCTTTTAGGAAAATTCAGCACCAAATTGGTATGCACATTGAAAATCAGCAAAAAAGGATTGTCAATGGTCAGGAAGGAATGCAAGAATTACTGACAGATTATGGCTATTACACAGGGTGCAACAGAAATATGTCCAACATAATGGAAAGACATCAGTGGCAGTGGTGTTTAAATCTAGCTAATGTCTGACCATGAAAGATTCTTCACTGAAATTTTTAAGAAAAAGCCAACACTTAATAATATTAACTACGAACATGGCCACAATGTGTTGTGTTCGGAAAATAAAACATCTCTATAACACTAAGAACATACACACAACACACACACTCAATTAAACTGAAAAAATAAAATCATTCTTGATAATGGCTTAAAGTATAGCTGAAAGCATTCGAAATTATAGAACATTTGGACAGTTTCTACACACTCCGTATCTGAAAAAGAAAGCACTTGTCCAAACACAAGAAAAATTAAATAAAAAGCTTAATCGTAGTACCTCATCTGTCATTTTATATATATATATATATATATATATATATATATATATATATATATATATATATATATATCACACATAAAACAAATATATATATATATATATATATATATATATATATATATATATATATGTGCGTGTGTGATAAAAATATATTTTTAAGTTATGCTCGATTTATGGATTAAAGTGCTTAATATCAGTGATAGAGTGTATGTAAATATAAAAGTGGACATGGAGGACAAAACTCAGTGGTGACAGTCTGTTTCATGCTTAAACACAATTGTCAGACCATGATGATTGTGTTTAAGCATAAAACAGACTGTTGCCACTTGGTGTTGACCCCAATGTTTACTTTAATATATATATATATATATATATATATATATATATATATATATTAAAGAGAAGGTAGAAGCCACAAACGTTTTTGGTTTTAAAGTGGATTTTTAAAATATATATTATACTTTATTTTTAATATTTTTGATATACGTAAAATATACATTTTTCTCTTGTTGGAACAACTATAACCTTTCCCTCAGTGGTTAGAATTTACTGCAAGCATTGCTGAGAGAATAGAGCTATTATATTTCATATATAAATCCATTGCAAATGATTTTCTGATAAGAAAACATTGTAAATAATTTTACTATCAAAGTTCAAGAAAAAAAGTGATTGTCAGTGGTCAGCTAATCAATACAGACCTTACTAACAGAATAGGGTAGTTATATGAATAACCATTTATAACTTTTGCACACAGATAATAATATTATGTGTGCACAAAACTTATCAGGACCCTCTTCCTTGAAAACTAGGAATTAAATGCACAAATGAAAACTCTCTCTGAAAAATAAAAATCATTGAAAACTTCTGCACATAATTTTAAGTTGATGACTGCATAAAAAATATAAAAAAAGATGAATTTCTTGAGTCTCCCTTACCTGTAGGAAATAATTTCTTTGAGATGATTTGTCATGACTTTGCCTCCAACATTGATTCTGAAATTAGAGACCATTTGAAATAATTTTTCTTTTTTTTAGTTTAAGTATAAAGTCATTTTTGCAAAATAGAATTTTTCGGTTGTTTTTTTCCCCCTGAGAAACCAAAGCTTTCTTTCTTAGTAAATAGGTAAATGTGTTGGGCAACAATAAATTGTTCCAGTAAGAGTCATGGGAGCTGCTTATTAGGAGAATATATAAAGAAACCTCCAGAGAAAGTGAATGGCATGGATGAAGCTTAGTTTTCCAGAGAGCTATCAGTTGAATAAGCCATGACAGTTACTGAGAATCCACAAGATGTACCCTGAAGTGATATACAATATTGGCAATATATATGAAGAAATATAGTTTTAAGGTGTGCTATATTTATGGGATAAAGTGCTCAATATCAGAGATAGAGCGTATGTAAATATAAATATAAAGTGAACATTGAAGTCAACACTCAAAGGCGACAGGCTATTTCATGCTGGATGCAAACGCCAGGCCTGATGATTGCCTCCAGCAAGTAACAGCCTGTCGCCTCTGAGTGTTGACGCCAATGTTCACTTTTATATATATATATATATATATATATATATATATATATATATATATATATATATATACACACACACACACACAATATTGTCAATAAGTAACCATAAAACATCCAACAGTCATAAAGGTCTTATATATATATATATGTTAATGTGGAGAAAACTTGTCACTTAACTGAGTGGCATTATTTCAGTCATGCCAACTTCAAAGTTTTGTAAGTGCATTGTTGTAATGCCTTCACTCTTCAGGGTTATTGGCTTCTCTGCTACTGCTTCTCAGTTTTTTCATATTTATGTATAGTTTGTTGTAATTTGATATCTTTGTGTAAGTGGGTGATTTTTTTCACTTAATGGGTGTTATCTATTTTTATCTTTAGTTTTTTTTTGATGTTTCTTAAATGGTGTAGGGTTTCTTGGTGATTGTTTGCTTTGTATTATGCTGACCTCTTTTGACCTTGTTTATATATATGCTAAACAGCACTCAGTTAAGCGACAAGTTTCTCCACATTAATTCTATTAATGCTCTATTCTTACCTTTTGATACTGAGCACAAAAACCTGCCTGCCTTTGACCAGTAAACTACAGAAAAAACCCAGCAATTTTGCCACCTAAAATTCTTACAATTTAATACTATATATATACAATTTAATATCATAAGGTTAATATCCAGATATAATTTTATAAAACCTCTTCCCTTCAAGACAAATATCTTCCACCCTCTCCTGACTCTTGTCTTGTGCCTTTCGTCTGACTGAAACATTGAAATCGATAAATTCTGTATTAGTTTTTTGACCGTTTTTTTTTTTTTTGTAGCTTTCACAAATTTCTATTTCCAACACGAACTCAGTCTATACCAGGGTTGATAAGACAGACAGATTATATTTTCGTCTGTTGAAATAAGCTTATTCTCCATATGAGGTGATTTTGGATTTTATTGTATATTAATTTTTGTTCTGTAATAAATACATTGAACTATTTTTGTGGATCAGTTTCAATATTTTATATTACTAGGATCCACTTGGATTATATGCCAATGGATTTGTCACCTATATATATATATATATATATATATATATATATATATATATATTTGATTTTATTTTAGTCAGACTAGGAGATTTTGCATTGTGGAACATATCAATGTAATCAGTAAAACCATTAAGTTTGTTTCCAAAAGCATCAGAAATTATTACAAACAAAAGACCACAAACTTCCATTTGCAATTTTAGGATTAAAAAAGTTTGTACCAACACAAATTGCAATGGGACTTTGACTTTACAATGGAATATTTAGCTTCAAATAAAATGGGGTATGCAGATAGTCTCTTGAGACCAATACCAAAATAAATACAATTATTGGGAAATAGTCCTTGACTAAGTAAAATTAGAAGCAAAGATGAATAGCACACAGTTTAATGTTATAAGAAATGGTTGTGTGGTTGAATAGTTAGAAAATTAGTGTTCTGACCATGAGACTCAAGGTGTGAATGTCATGTAATGTTCTATTTATCAAGGAGGTGAGATCTTTGATTATAATGGCATGCGGAGATGATTCTAATATGCAGCAGTGTTAGAAAAAATCCTTCATATTCGTATCATGCATTGACCCAAGCATTGTGAGTGAAATTGGGTAGATGAAATTGTATGGAAACCATCAACGGTTGTGTGAGCAATATAAGTCAGAAATCTCCGTGACCAAAGTGTTTGAGCGTACTGGCTTTGTTCAAACTGGCGATCATACCAGATGATGTGTGCTTTCTCCCAGAAACTGTAATTCTTGTTGTGGAAAGAAGGGTCCAAAAAAATATAACTTTACAAAATCCATAGGTTACAGTCACATAGATTAGTATATTGTCAATAACACTGATTTCTGGTTACAAAGACATGTATAAAGAACGTGTGACACTTGATTGGCTGTCAAATAAAAAACCTACATGCTTGCATCAATAACACCAACCTTGTTTGGGTGGTTCCTCTTTGATAGTGGCAACATATGATGTGGGGGTATTTTGATTTTCTTCTTCACTGGTCTGCTCAGTATATGTGCTGTATGAACCAAAGATTGGTTCTGTGGGCACTGTAGCAACACAAATGTACCTAAGCAGGTGTCTTAAACATTTCTAGTGGACAGGTTTATTCAGAAAAACAAGCAGCTGATCACTATAATGCTATAAGAGCAATTTGGATAACATTAAAAAAAAAAAACAAGTAAAAGCATTAAAGGTTAAAGTATTGAAATTGATGGTAAAAAGCTTATAATCTGGTGGGGAAGAAAAGAACAATGACAGATAATATTACCAATTCTATTTGAAGAGAGATTCCGTGTCAACATGCAAGGATTATGAAATGTACACAAACTCAATTATAACATTGGCATTTTGGTCACAGGTAATAAAACAGTTCTAAGCCTGGCATCAATATGATTAGCCAGAGGGAGCTTCAGCTGACCAGGTTGACTAAGGAGGGGTGACTCGGTCCAGGGCGGAAACACAGCAGACAAAAGACCTTATGTTAGACAGTAATTGGATCGTGCCTGTGAATAGTGGTCATATGCCGGCCTGTTCAATACAATCGAACCTCAAACTTTTTTTCGGGGTACCTGATTATCTCTTTCACTACACTGCTATATTCACAAGGTTTTGGCTATTGTATGTTCCAATATTCTTCCAGTGATATACATTGGCATTTCAAACTGAAACCCTTTTAGTCCACAGGGGTAGATTGTTTTAATGCCATGTGCTATGCTTGAATCAAAGAGCTGTGAGTTCAATATCTGGCTACAGCAGAGGGAAAAAAAACACATAGAGTTAAGTTACTAAAGTGAATTAACTGGTAACGAATGAAATGCTTAATCTTTTCTTAAGAGTATACACAGTACAATGCACAGTGACCGGAAAAGCAGGGTTAATATCCAATGAGGACTATTTTTGACAAAATGTTACCAGTACATCGGTCATTGGTTGAAATGCTGTGAGTCTAACATCTAAGATGAGGATGCTGATCTGAATAGGAAAGCATAGAATAATTTCTCATCTCAAAAATTCCAACAAAAATGAAGTTAATGTCAAAATATTATAAAATTTGTCACTTTTAATAATATATGCTCAATCTAAGTAACCTGCTACATCTGATGTTAAGATTTAGAAAAACAAATATGGCCCAACATTCATCAAAATTAATGGTTATAAAATTAATGGTTTTTTTTTATAAAAACAAATATGGTCAAACAAAATTAATGGTTAGATGCTGGGGGCAATGGGATATGTGATGAAATAATAAATTTGACTGTATTTTAGAGCTGTCTGCATTTGAACTCAGCAGATGTCTTTAGCACTTTAGAGGTGTTTTTAGCACTGTCCACTGACTTGACCAATACAACATCAATTATTTTCTGTAGGATAAAACAAAATATTTCTGACCTGAGAGAATAACAATTTGATAGTTTAACATAAATTGTGAAATTTTTTGGATGTGTGCACTGAAAATCAGAAAGAAACATATTGTTAGTGGCCAGGAAATTATGCAAGCCTTACTAAAAGCATAAGGGCAATTAGATTATTAATGTAAATGCATTTCTAATGATCTTTACTATAGAAATACAGTGCTAATGAAGAAGAAAGTGCTTGCTAATGGTGGGGAATGAATGCAAGCATAACTTATAAAACAGAGTTATAATATGGATAAATAAAAATTCTACTTCATTTTCCTTTCAATCCATGGCAATCTCGGTTGATTTGCAGGAATGAATAGCATCAATGATTTCTTAACCAATTGGTTGATGCTTTAAGCCGAAACCAGAAAACGTTTTCCTCTGTTTTGTGATTAGAACGTCATTACTCATATATGCAATAGATCATGGAATCATTTTTCTGATATATAATGATTATATTTACAAACAAACCATAAGAAGTGCCAAATTAATTTGAATATTTCATTTCAGTGTTGTGTGTATGAAAAAAAAAAGTAGATTTCAAATATTCACCTTTTCACAGCATTTTTCATTTTTTTGCCTTTTAAGTAAGGCACAAGGTGAGTAAAGGAGTAACCTGTGTCCACAATCAAACTGCACAAAGGGGATGAGGAGGAGTTGCTTTGATCCTTGCGTAGTTTATAGTCAGACAATTGGGTGGCTGGAGAAAGCAAAAACAGAAATATTACGACATGCAAATCAATTTGCAACACACACACACACATATATATATATATATATATATATATATATATATATATATATATATATATATATATACACACACTCTACAAATGAAAAAAATGAAAACCAACTATGTTGGTTTGATCAAGAGACAACCTGGCAGAGGACCTAACACCTTAGAGCAGAAAAAAATCCAGAAGCAGGAAAGAAATAAAAATGAAAGACCAAAAGGCAAACAGCTGTCCACTCAGTAAAATGCTCAATGTCCAGATTACCTAGACAGAACAAAAAAAAAAAAATACTTCCTAACATGACTTGGGGATATATATTTATAATTAAAATGGTCCATGTGTGCTTCTTATGTAGATTTACTAGGGGGGCTGGTTAATAAAATTTAAGGAATAAAAAGCCAACAAAATGATAACAGTATTGGCAATAAGATGAATGATATTTATAAGATGAATGATATTTATAAGATGAATGATATTTATTATACATTAGTCTTTTCATTAGATTGAAGCACTGAAGAGAAAGATTTTAAAGTTGGAATTATCGGACACGCTTAGTCCTTTTTCAACAAGAAATAAACAAAGTGGGACCAACATTCCCTAGAGTGAGTCCCACTTTGTTTATTTCTTGCCTCTTTATGTTAGAAAGACACTTGAAAGAAGTTTCTTAAAGAAACTGAAATCTCAAGGAAGAAAGACATATTTATGGTCAACTGCATAACTAAAACAGTAAAAAAAAAAAAAAAAAAATGTCAACAACATTGAAGGAAAGGAAAATTGCTGAGGTGAAGCAGACTTTTCTTGAAAAGTGGGAATATTTGTATTTTTTAAATAAATGGTAAAGCATGTTAGGCTATATAGTCTCTCTCTCTCTCTATATATATATATATATATATATAGTCTTCAACCCCCTCACCCTTTCTGCAAACTGTCAAATATTAACATCGAACAGTATTTTCTAAAGTTAATAAATAAGCACTGCTAAAAAAATAACCCTCTAAATAAGATTTTCAATAGGAAAACGATTAAGATTAGCTACTCTTGTACCAACAACATTTATAAAATTATCAACTTGCACAACAACCAAATTTTAAGGAATGACAATAAACCTGGCATTGAACCCTCCTGTAATTATAGATCAAAAGATAATTGTCCAATAAAGGACAAATGCAAAGCTACCAGGGTTATATATCAAGTGACCGTTTCCAAAGAAAATATGGAAAATAAAAAAGTTTACATTGGAATTTCCACAGAGGAGTTGAAAAAATGTTTTTTATACCCATAAGCACTCATTCTCTAACCTTAAACACCAAACAACTCATTCAAAAAAATTGGGGAACTAAAAGACAAAAATTTAAACCCACAGATAGTTTGGAAAAATATAGGTTCTGCAAAAACTCCAAATAGTTTCAATAGATATCACTTATAGAAGAAAAAATTAAAATAATAAAATACAATAATGAAAGCCAACTATTGAAGCAGAAGAACGAATTAGTGTTTAAATGTCAACATAAAAACAGATTCAAATTTCCATAATTTTGCATTAATGAGATACTCAAAATCCACCCCCTAACTCTTCAAATGTTAACACACACACACATATATATATATATATATATATATATATAAAAAAACTAAAAAAAAAAAAAAACCCAAAAACTAATTCTAATCCCCCATAGTGGAATTTTTCCTTCTTTATCTATTCCTCTCCCCCTCTAAAACCATTCATACTATATTGATTATAATTTATAAACCTAATTCTCCTTCTGTTAATCCCCTATATCTCCTTATCTATAACTTCTTTTAAATTTATTTTTGGGCTCATTCTTAATTTCTACTTTAATCTTAAATTTAGTTAAGAACTTTATTTTCTAGTACCTCCACTAGTCGTCATAAGGTTTTGGGCTTTCCCTAATAAAACCTTTCTGCCTTAAGATAAACACCTATCACCCACCTTAACCCCTGCCTAGCGTCCAACTGAAACAGTGAAAAGTGTAAACTCTGTATTAAAGGTTACAGGGCAAGTTAAGGTTTAGCTTCCAATAACAATTCCTCACAGCCAACTCCTACTATATTCCACTTCCTCATGAACTTCATTCCACACCGGGGTTGAAAAGACAGACGACCAAAATCGTCATCTGGCAAAATAGTCTATTCCCAATGTTATAAAATAAGACATATCTCGGCTTATTTACAGGCAAATACTTAAGAGTGAGAACCGGATGTGAATGGGACAAAGCCCCGTCACAAAATAAAATAATATTTAAAGTGCTCTATTTTTCGTCCAATAAAAATGCTTCCCTCCTAATTATACTCACTTCGTTTCTCGAGCCTGTTAAGCCATAAAAAAATGCTATAAAAGGGGTCACAGGGAAGTTCAACAGGCAGTCCACAGGTCTGAGCGAACGGTTCGGTTTAACTCTCTGCTTTCGGGCGGGAGGAACCCGAAGGAGGCTACGCCGAAGTCTCCTTCAGGGAGGTAAAACCGGCCCTGAACCCGTTTATACGGGTTCAAATGGGCTATTTTTTGGTCGAGCCTAATGGCTCAGAAATGCCCACGTTAAAAAGGCCTTGTGCCACATGACACCCTTGTGGGGGGACAACTAAATATAGTCCACAGGTGCCCAGGATAGAGACCTGTCACGTCCAGCTGCTGACAGCAGGGGAGCGTCAACCACAGTCAACATGTTTGAACTACTATGAGAGATTGACCTAGATCCGAAGCCGGCTTATGAACTTTACCACAAGGTAGCTGTCCCAAACCCACACGTTCCTGTTGAAATAAACCATGTAAATCTATTTCTGCTGTTGTTGTATTTCTTTCTTGCAACCATACGCTTGTCTATAACACCAATATGCAGTAAAAAGATTTGTTTGATTATTAATTATATTGTTCTGTATAAATAAAATACATTGATCTCTTTTTTTGTGCTTGAGTTTTAATATTTTCATATTACTAGGATCCACTTGGATTATATAGCAACAGATTTTTTACCTATATATATATATATATATATATATATATATGTATATATAAATAAAAAGAAAGAACAGTAAAATATATAATCCAGTGTTCTTAGAGATATTTTTATTTTTACAAAATTAAAAATTACGGTTAGGACTAAATTAAAAAAAGTTAACTTCCTTGATATAACATTAGATCTAAATAAAAATACATACACACCTTATAAAAAACCCAACACCAATCCTTTATATATTCACCCTAAATCAAATCACCCCCCATCTATAATTAAACATATACTGTTATCTATCAGTAAACGAATTAGTACAAATTCAGTAAATGACAAGATTTTCAATGAGCATATCAATTCCTATAATAAGGCTCTAAAAGATAGGGGCTACAAAAACCCAAAACTAACTTATATAAAAAATGAAAAAAACAGATGTAGAAAAATAATTTGGTATATGCCCCCATACAACCAAATGGTAAAGAATAAATTAGGACAAAAATTCCACGCATTAATAGTCAAACATTTTCCTAGTGAAAGTAAACTAAGTACTATTTTCAATAAAAACACACTAAAATTGAGTTACAGCTGTACGGAAAACTTAGAAAAAATTATCAAGAACCATATGCTAATATCTTAAATAAACACTTATACCAAAACCAGAAAAATTTAGAAAATGGAAAAGTAACTAATGCAATATCTCTTCGAGTGAAAGTCCTGAAAACATAAAAATATATATAGGTTGCACTAGCCATGAGTTCAAAAATGATTCAACCAACATCAAAGTTCATTTAGGATAAATAAATATAAAAATCAAACATCTCTATCAAAATACTTCTGGCACCTAAAAGAATCAAATAAAACACCTACAGTAAAATGGAAGTTAATAAGAAAAGCTAGAATATGTAGGTCATTAAATGACCCATGTCCTTTGTGCATACATGAGAAACTATATATTACTAAGTTTATAAAAAATAAAAATTTACTGAATCAGAGAAATGAAATAGCTATTTTATGCCGTCATTGTCAAAAATTTTCCTTAAATAATATTAAAAAATAAATTTAAAAAGGTGCGATCAGGTAATATACATACTTATATTTAACATGAAAAAATAATTTTATATACTGTAAGTAATTCTATTACATTTACTTGTTTTTTCTTTAAAAAAAAAAAAATAAAATAGTCTATTAAAATAAAAGTGAAAATATTTTAAAGTTGTATTTAAAATTGTAGTTAAAACAAATTCTAACCTAAACATCTTTTAAAATTGTAGTTAAATAAAACGTACTCTAACCTAAACACCTCTCGAAAAGTACTACCGGCACTTAAATGAATCCAATAAAACACCTACTGAAAAATGAAATTATGACGAAAAGCTAGAAGATGTAGGCCATTGAATGACCCATGTCCTTTGTACATACATGTGAAACTATATATTACTAAGTTTATATATAAAAAAAATAAATAAATAAATAAATAAATAAAGTTTACTAAATCAGAGAAATGAATTAGCTATTTTTGCCATAAGTGCCATAAATTTTACTTAAATAATATTTAAATATAAAATTTAAAAAATCGTAATATACATATACTTGATATGAAAAAATAATTTTACTTACTGTAATTAATTCTAATACATTTACTTCTATTAAAAAGAAATATAGTCTATTAAAACTAACAATGAAAATATTTTAAAGTTGTAATTAAAATTGTAGTTAAATAAAATGAATTCTAACCTAAACTTCTTTTAAATTGTAATTAAATAAAATGTTTCCTAAGATAAAGACCTTTTTTAGTACTACACGCAATTAAAAGAATCCATTAAAACACCTACAGTAAAATGAAATTAATATGTAATGCTAGAAGATGTAAGCTTTTGAATGACCCATGTCCTTTGTATTTACATGAGAAACAATATATTACTAGGTTTATATAAAAAAAAAAATATATAAATAAAAGTTTGCTAATTCAGTGAAATTAAGTAGCTATTTTTGCTGTCATTGTCATAAATTTTACTTAAATAATATTTAAATTTAAAAAAAAATTGTAACCTAATAATATACATACTTATACTTGATCTGAAAATAATTCTACATACTGTAAGGGACTTTTTACATTTAATTGTTCTTAAAAGAAAAATAGTATATTAAAAATTAAAAGTGAAAATATTTTTCAAATCGTAGTTAAATAAAACGTATTCTAACCTAAACACCCCACAAAATCTTTAAATGTACAAATAGAAAAAAATGCCGTAAGAATTTTTGCCGTTAACAATAAGAATCTAAAAAAAAATCCAGACATGCATTTAACGGATGTTAGATTTCATTGAAGAATACATCCCTACCCCCTACCAAAATGTAACTAATAACGGATACATCAAAATACAGACATAATGAACACGCAACCACCCCTTGTCTCTAGTGGAAGTGGATTTATCTGTAACCTTGGAAACGTGAATTATGATTTTAGCTGTGTCCTTAAAACCCAGTAATTTTAAAAGTTACTCCAAAATTTGCTTGAGGATGAAATGGAACTAATGTCTTTAATTACAAAATTAAATTCATAGCTTTTTGCTTCCATTTTTGAAACCTGGTTAGAACTGTGTAGCAAAAAAAAATCATATTTTAAATCAAATAATTTATAATATATATATATATATATATATATATATATATATATATATATATATGCACACACGCAAATATATACACACACACTGTTTGAACATATGGACCAACAATGTTCAGTGTAAAATGTCCTTCTTCAACGGTGTCTGCGATGGTTCGGACACGCTGCGCGCCGGTCGAGAGGGGAGCTGATACGGGACGTTCTCCTTCCCACACCGCCGTCCACCTGGCGGAAGTGGATAGGCGGACAGCTGAAGACGTGGGCCTCAACAATCAAGGAGGATCTGGCGTTACTTTCCGGCCTGCATGTGGTCGGCCTCCGCCGCTGGAACCGCGACTGGCTTACCATCTCATGCGACCTCGCGACAGACCGACGGGCGTGAGCAGCAATGGTCCGTGATGCGGTGCGTCAACGGGAAGAAGCCGGCTCAATCCGCCCAGGGTGAATGCCGCATCAAGACAAGAAGTGTAAAATGTAAAGCCTAAAATACAGAGCCTTAAAATTTAATCTACCAATAATAATTTTTTCTGTTCTCTTACCATTCTACTAATGTCAGTTTAATGTACTTAGGCAATTTTCAGGTATCAAAGGGAAGAACTCAAAAGTTTAAAGTTTCAGCATCCTTTCTCTCCTTTATGTGCATGTGTAGTTACATCATTACTCTGATGAAGTCCTAAAAGCTGAAATATGTCACCTGAATGATTTCCCACTTTGTCATTAATTTTCCTATATAGATTGTATATAGTAACCAAGTAATGGAAGATTAACACTGAAAAATTTATTGTATTTGTTTTTAAAATTCCAAATCAGATTAAAGAGAAAAAAATCTGATTTTGCTGCTGTTAATTACTCTCATCTCATTATTGTTAAAGAATGTTGTGTTGTTTTAATAAAACAAGGAAAGAGCAAAATTTATTCCTGATTTACAAATATCCAATAGAAAAAAATTCATATAATCTAAAGCAAGATTGCTTCAAAAAGTGTATATATAAAATTACACAAGAAATGTGTTATTTTTAGAGTAATAGATAAAAATGGAAACATAGTTTATGCTAATGAATTTGTTACTTTCTTTATATTTCAATTTTGTCATTCAATGTCAGTCATTTTTTTTAAATATATAAGCAAAAAGGACAATTATACTTAAAATGAATTAGATTATGAGGAAAAAAAACTTGGAAAAACAACACTCGTAGTATTCTATGCTCATGTTGTACAAGCAATAGCTTCACCCATGTGGGCTATATAATCTGTGATTACCTCCCTTTTATTTTGTAGCTGAGTTTCATTTTATTTATCATAACACTCACCCAACATAATGGAAAAGAGAGATTAACCTAAGTAATAATTTTGGGTGACTGCTTGGTAGAGGAAGAATAAAAAGGATGATAAAGAGTTAAAAATTGCTTAGAGTTACAAGGGAAAGAAGTTGTGGAGAGCCGCGATCGCTCACATCCTGAAGGGACAAGGCATATAAAAGAATAAATCATTCGATGTGAAGCAGTTTGATTTTTTAAACATTAAAATTTTTTTTCATTATTGTAAAAAAAGAAGCAAATATCAATACTTACCATTCGTTCGGTAAATTGCTTTAAATTGATAATCTTCAAAAAAGATTTCCTCCATTGCTTCTTGAATGGAAAGAAAATTAAATTGTGGTTCAGTTATGAGAAGAGTTGTTTCACTGAAATTAACCTGGAAAAGAAGAAAGAAAACAAAATGCTGAGATTTGTAAACCCTTAAAGGTTAGCTGCTATTATTATTATTACTACTAATACTACTGTTGTTGTTGTTGCAGGTTAGTAGTTAATGTTTTTGGCCCAGAAAAAGGAGTCAACCGTAGTCAGGATCATTGAGTCAATGTGGATGATCTTTTCCTTAGATACATAGGATATGCTTTTCCAGGGCTGCATACAATTTTGAATTCAGAGTTTTCCTTATTCTAAACTGGTTGCCACCCAAGGCTATAGAACCTAGACTGTCTTTTCTATTTACCTGGGGGTGGGGAAGAGAAGGATTCATAGCTTTCCCAAGGGTATTAGCATGTAAGTGAAGGTAATGACCTCAAAAGGGATTTGAACTTGGCTCTCCAATTCCTCAATCTGAATTGCAATCCATTCTCTACCATGCTTAGAAAGCAGGCTTAATTTCAAATGGCAACAACCATGTGAATTAAGAACACTTCATTTTAGGTTTTATTAAATATTTTTTGTTTTGATTGTTAGTAAAACTGATAACAATCAAATATTATTAGCATGAGCTGTTGTTTGAAGGGAGGGAGATCAAGATCCTGAGGTTGTTGTTGTTGGTAGGTAACCAGAATTATTAACAACAAGGGCATAAGAGGAAATTACATGGAAAATCTCTCTTTGCCACGTTCTTTGCTTATAAGGATCAGAAGAAGAGAATGTTTATCAACTGCAGATAAATTCTCCTGTTTGAACATTGGCATGTACATACAGTAAGTACTCCCTTTATGCTTCGTACCCTTCCTCAATAGCTCAACAAGCTGAGATAGCCAATATGACTTATTGACTTAAAGGGGTCTATTTGGCAGGCAGAGTTAAGAGATTATCTTATGTGGACTGCCATGCTGTTTGACTATAGCTGAAGAGATTTGTGTCTTCTCTTACACTGCCTTACAGGGCTGAAAGGCATCAACAGCCATGCTGTTTCCAGCTGAAGGGAGATGTGGATTCATGCCTTCTTTTAGATGGACTGCTATCCAAGGCTGAAGGGTTTCACCTGCCATGCTATTTGACTACAGATGAAGGGAGAAATGGAGTTATGCCTTCTCTTAGATGGAATGCCTTATAAGACTCCACTTTGATGTGATTAGTGCATATTCGAGCAGACACACTATTGTGGGGTTTACTCAGTTGACAGAGACATTCAACTGATTGAACCTGTGTACTGTGTGAGCATTTCATTCACAATGCTGACTTGTGCAGGAAATTTTAGTAAAGTGTCACATCTACAAGGCCTGTACATGCCGCAACAGTGCAGATTTGGCTACTTGGATCTTTTGCCTTTTCCTAGAGCTAAAATAACATGTCTCAAACAGGTTTTTGTTTTGATTTGATTGGTTCAACAATGAAGAAAAGAATAATCCATTTTTTTTTAGATACATAAATTATGTGAAAAGACAAATATGAATTCTGTCTGTATTTCTGAGATGAGGCATTGTAACTATTTACATTGTTCAGACTGTTGTCTTCATCTTTATTGCCATATTCACAACGTTTCGGCCATTGGACTAAATAAAGGGTTTGGTCTGAAATGCCAATGTACATCACCTGAAGATGGTGGGTGAGTACAATGGCTGAAACATTGTGAATATGGCAATAAAGATGAGGACAACAGTCCTAATGATATAAATAGTGTAAATAAATATGAATTCTTTTATTGAGCAACCAAAGAAAATCTTTTCATCATTATTTGCTTTTTGAGTTAAATGTGCTATCCATTTTAGCTGTTGCCGCTGTTGATAGTCTTCAAGTGATGTGCGTTCTGTTATTTGGTAAAGTTCTTCCTTTGTGATCCTGTAGCACCAATCCATAAGGTTCAAAGAAGGATGATCATTGCCAAGACCATCAGTCTTTATTCACTCAAAGGTATTTTAACCATTGATCTTGAGAAAGTGGTTGCATACAACTGACAGTCTAGATATTTCTGAATGGTTCTAGTGCCATGCACGGCACCCATATGAAAGTCTTGATCTGACGAGGATATTTAAGAACAATATTTCTGAGATGAAGTATGGTAACTATTTACATTCTTCAGACTGTTGTTCTCATCTTTATTGTAATATTCACAATTTTTCATCCATTGTATGCTCATGCATCCTTCAGGATCTGTCTATATTTCTGAGATGAGGTATTGTAACTATTTACATTGTTTGAACTTTTGTTCTCATCATTATTGTCATATTCACAATGTTTCAGCTGTTGTATGCTCCAGCCTTCTTCAGGTGATATACGTTAGAATTTAAAACCAAACCCTTTATTTAGTTCATATGGGTAGATTGTTCTAATTCCACATGCCATGCCTTTTCTGGTTATCTTAGTTTCACTTATTTCCCTTTAGTTACTCATCGCTCCAAGTTTATTCACTTCTGCTGTGGCCAGGTATTGAACTCACAATGCTTTGGGTCAAATCACTGGATTACTTCAACCAATGCTTTTATCCACTGGCCATGTGTCCTTAGGGTTCAAAATTTCAACATATATCGCCTGAAGAAGTCCAGTGTGTACAATGGCTGAAATGTTGTGTATATGATAAAAATGAGAACAGTCTGAACGATGTAAATAATGTATTTTTGGATGTTTTTTTTACATGTGGCAATAAAAGAACACCTAATGATTGCAAAAACTGGAAAATTATCCAAAATTGCCAAATATTTTTTTGCTATAATTTAAACTGATTTTAAGCAATATAAACCTTATTCTAGATAAATGGATGTTTCGGAGATTTCATGTATAGAAAAATATATTTATTTTTTTTTTTTAACAAGGAAAACTTGTAAGAGATTTGATCACTGATGCAATTAGGAAAGAAGATTTCACTGAATTTTTCTGTAGGTCTTTAAAATGTGAATATTTCAGACATTCACATTTGGTTTATTGTTTTTTTTTCCAATGGAAATCTTTTTTAAAAACTAAAATAATTTTCTCACATAAATTTCACAATTTCTACAAATCTGGCAAAAATAATTTTTCTGACAATAGTCTAATTTAAAATCTAATCAATTTTTGTAAGCAATTGAAACCGATATTTGCTTATGTGTCCCTCTTGTAAAATACTACAGGAATACTTAAAATTAACTGTTAACAATGGCAGAATTTCTATCATTTGCTTGTAGTTGTTCCATAGCTTTTGCAGAAGAGACACCCCCACCCCATATCTGATAAAGATCAGGAAATTCTTATTGAGAGTGTTATAAACATGATTTGTAGATAAATATATGGTTTAAATATTTTTTTTTTATTATGTTGTTAATTTACCTTGAGAACATCTTTACCAAACAAATAATCCCAGACTTGTTTTTCAATTTCCCAATTGACAAGATAACCCTGAAAAAGACAAAAAAAAAACACTTTGAAGAAACCAGATCATTGTTATCAATTCTGTGGAGCCTTCAATACAGGGCATTTTATTTTGTATGGATCAAAACATTTACCTTTTTGATTTTAAAAAAACTGAAACAGTAAATCAATTTAAATATTTTAATCTAGGTACCTCCACGAAATCGCTAAAAAAAGAGCATAGCTTGATGAAAAAGATGCCAACCTTGCCGAAAACAAAATTTTATTGTCTAAATGCTTATGTTATTATTAAGAGGAAAGACATAAGTTTTTTTTAATTAATTTTAAAAATTTTTCCTTCTTTTTAGAACATTCTAAATTTTGATTAAAAAAACCTTGTTTCTATTTGAATCAGCGGAACTAGTAAATAACATAGACACACATTAATTTGAAAAATCGTGCAAAAATAGAAATAATTGTCGGATGTTAATGAAACTTTCAGGAACTATTCACAGATGATCGAAATTATTATAAATATGTTTTTTTTTTTTTTTAATTAAAGTCATGGTAGAAATACTTTTTTTAAATATTTATTACCCCCCCCCTAACTAATTTTATGAAAACGCTAGAAATTCGATCGCATCGGGTTTACTGATTACAATAATTAAAAGCACAGGGCTTTGAGGAATACAAATAATGTTTTTTTTTGTTTTTAATTGAATCCACAGTACCTGAAAATCGGCTATAAATTGTAACATACAAAACTCAATAAAACAAAGATATTATTTAATTTCAAATGCTTTTATTTGCTTTTAGTTTTTATGAATATGGACAATATTTTCTGAAAGCAAAAAATTTTTTTCGATGAAAAATGAATTTTTAATACAATTATTTGTTATTTCTTTAATTATAATAATAGATTTTACATTTAAGTTGTTAAAATATTATAAAATTAGTTAAAAGCCACATCGGCTTTCCTAAGTGTCCTTATGAGATTGATCTTTTTTAGCGCGTTGTAAATTGTATCATTTTGACTAATCAGAAGATCCCCAGTAATTAAGAAATGTAATTTTGTGCTTATAATCGAGCTGTAATTATAAAATACGGAAGACCAACCAGAATATAATTAAGTTGCGTTATTTGAGTTAAGCATTGTTCTCCGCTGTTAAGGCCTTTACTTTTGTGAAACACGTGTGGAGAAGTTAATTTGATTTTTCAATTTCAACTGAGAAGGGTACCTACAAGTATCAGTATCATCTTATGAAATTTATATGATCTTATTTTTATATTAATCTCAGTTACGACATTTTTCCATAAATGAAATATCAAAATTAATAATAAAATGAATGCAAATACAAATAACAGTAGAATGTAATAAATGTACATAAAATTATAGTATTTTATGTACAATTCTGATAAAACTTCATAAGAAAGGTACCTATAAATTAATTAGATACCTTTCTTAAGAAATATGAAATTTAATGTCACTCTTAACAGTTTTATTTTAATTTCTTTACAATATATTTCCCATAAAGCATCATAAACGTAAAGGTGAAAGCTAAGTACAAAAAAAAAAAAAAAAAAAAAAAAATTAGACCACTGAAAGTTTTCGTTAAAATAACGGGGTAAATAATTTGTTCACGAAATGTAAATTATTTCACTTTTCTCCTTCCAGAGAACAAATTAGCCTCATGGAATTATTAAATATATCATTCATCACATGTCAAGAGACACGAAAGTTTATGACCTGCTTTGTTTTATTTTCAAATTACATCTTTTTGGCACAAAAGCTAAGTTAAGTTTGGTTCAAAATATTTTAAATAAACATTATAATTTCTGATTTTCTTAAAATAAGTTTTGAAAAAATGATAATTGATATTTAAAAAAATTTCAAAGTCAGATTTCCAGTTTTTTTTTAAAAGGGAAAAAAATGGTCAATTTTGCTGACTCAAAAAAAAAAACTAGATTTTTAAACGAAAATTTCGGACGTGCTAGGAACGATTAAAAAATGGAAAAAAATACCCCAAAAATACTTTGACCTTTCCTCTTAATAATAACAAACATTTAGACAATAAAATTTTGTTTTCGTCAAGTTTGGCGTCTTTTTCATCATGCTATGCTCTTTTTTTAGCGATCTCGTGGAGGTACCTATAGAATCTGAAAAGCCAAAAAAAACAAAGCAGATCATTTATCCATAGTGAAATAACCTGTTCCTTAAATATAGAACAGGTGATGAAAAATGGGTTCCATATGACAATTTTCAATGCAAATGGCAGTGGATTGATGAGGATAAATCTACACAACTGAATCCCACCCAAAAGCTGAGCTCCAGAGAAGGTAATGTTGTGTGCGTGTGGTGGGATCATTGGGGGTATTATTATATTTTGGGTTAAAATGCAATGAAACACTAAATGCATATTTATAGCAGCAGCAGTGTGTGTGTGTGTGTGCGTGTATGTGTACATAATAATAATTTGGGTTGAAGAGTACCTAGTGCTCATCAATAGGGTAAAAAACATTGTTCTTCTCCATGACAATGTAAGGTAGCAACCATAAAAAATAACACAAGAAAATCTTGGAAACTCAGTTGGTCTGTTTTACCACCACTCACCATATTTACTTGGCCTTGTACCAATTGATGATTACTGCTTTCATTTGCTGCAAAATGTTTTCATAAGAAAAATCAGATTCAAGAGTTCATGAAAACCTTTTTCACATTAAAATCTGGGGAAGTTTACTCAAAGGGTATCAAAGAACTGCTTGATAAGTGGCAACATCTCATTGCAAATAATGGTGAATAATTGAATAAAATATAATTGTACTTAATTTTATTCTATTTTGGTTGTTTGTTATGTGCTGATTGATACATGCACAAATTGCACTGAATTTCAACAAGTGACAAGTCAACGTATGGCAGAGTGTGGTTATGTGTGCCTGATGTAAGAATTTAATGCCATTTTTTGATTATTGATATTGGAAGTGCAATATCCCAGAGGGTATGAGAATTCTTGTCATCACTTACAGTCAATTTTTTCATATCAACTTTAATAATGAAATTAAATTTTAAATATTTTTTTTTATAAAAATGGTTGAAAAGCATTTTCAAACAAATCTATGCATTTTTTAGATTGAATTCAAGACTAAAAACAGTCACAACTTACCTTTTGGAATGGAAGAAGATAGTAAAGGCCAGAAAGGTCTTTGCAGTCATCAATTTGGTCACCAATAAATATTCGTGTACGTACATTTTTGGCTTTTGACACACAATTGGGAATAATTCTGAAGAAATCAAAATGTAAAACAAAATTTTCAGATAAAAATTATTCTTTTAGATAAAATCTTTATTTATTGCTTGCTGTAAAATATGGGATGCAACCAAAATTGAAATTTTCTAGCTTTGTGTAATAGTCATGTATGTCTGCTTATTGAGTTTTGTCTACAAACATGGCCACCATATTTGGAGAGGGATCAAAATATGCTAGAAAATGTGTCGCAGACATGCAACCAAATTGGAACCTGAATTACAAAATATGAGAGCATATTGAAAGAATTAATTTAAACAACATTAGAAAGTAGGAGAGACCAGGGTGACTTAATAAAAAGGTTTGAAACTATGGTTTATAATCATTTGATCACAATATGTTCTTTATAATAGGAAGGTACCCAGTGGCTTAAAAAGCCATGGACCTACTGTTGATGCAAACAGGTGTAGATTAAATATTAAGAAATATTAAGAATCAAGTTGTAGATGTATAGAAGAGTTTGCTAGAATAAGGGTTATCTCCCCTGAGTTTTATTACAACACTGATACATGGAGCTTTGCAATTTCTGTTTACATTCAGGAACATTATTAATTTGAAATTAAAGTTAATTCAAACTTTATCCTATGTGCACTTCCATATACACGTTTATTGCATTAAATATATTATATATGATGCACTAGACATTTGTAAAGATTAAAGATTTTAGAGCTTGGATTTGTTCTTTCATATGCCAAGAACTTTCAAGGTGTGTTCAGTCACGGCTCTCCATAATTTCCTATCTTTTGTTGCTTTAAGTAATTCTTGACCCATTACCATCTTTCTCTGTTCTGCCCTCCCTTCCCACAAACTCATTCAATTGGTTACTTGCTGTTTCCTCTGCTGTCAATTTGTCATGCGAGTGTTAGATTTTCTAGGCCTTCTTTCCTCATTATGTGCCTCACAAATTTCACCTGTCTTTTTCTGCTGGTAAGTTTTCTTGTTGTTCCTATTTTCCTTAAAACTTTATCATTGCTTACATGTTTTGTCCATGGTATTCTCAGCATTCATCAGTAGAACTACATTTCTGTCTCTTTAAGTCTCTTCTTCATTTGTGTACACTGCAGCACTGCAGATTGTCCAACATTCACGGCTATATAGGAGATTAAATAAACCGTGTAAAAAAAAAAAGCAATGCAAATAAGCAATAATCATGATTATTGTTGATTTTAAACTTCAACTGCCAATTCCACATCCCAAATGATACCTCCATTAGTTTTCTTTACCTAATCTCATATTCTGAGTATACATATTTTTCACATATAATTCAAAATTTATAAATGGAAAGTGTTGCATCAAAAATTAAAACGAAAAAGTGCTGGAAATGCAATATAATTGATTTTTTTTAAGTGCATTATTCCGTAAAAGTTTACTACATATGGTCTACCTTTGTTTTTGTCTGTCTATGCAATCGTTTCAAAAAAAGCTAAGGAATCAAGACTTATTCTGAAAAAAGAATGTAACGGGGTTGAATGGTTTATTTTTATAGGATTCCATTTTTTTTTTTTTTTTTTTTTAATAACTGCTAGAGAGGGAGATTATTTCCAGAATTTTAAATTAATTTTCCATTTTGTCATTTGACTTTTTTTTCTCATTCACGGATATTACATAGTTATAAGTTGAAATAAATTATATTCTTTTTCGGAAAATATTTCGTTTTCGTGTTATTTTTTTATGCAAGGCTTTTCAAATTCAAAGGACGTAGGTCCGACCTTTTTTATTTTTGTTTTGAATTCTGAGAGAAGACTTTCAATTATTAGACACAAATATTGAATTATTTCAGTTTTTATGAGAAAAAAAAGAGAAAAGAATTCAGAATATAAGGCTAAGTAAACAAATGTAAAAAAAACCCAGTAATTCAGTATTTCATATGCGGAATTTGGTATGTTAAAATCTACGATACTCGTAAAGAATTTTAATTTATTTGTGTTGTGTTGCTATAACGTGAGATGACTATTTTTTCTTAAAGGAAGAAGCAGTTTTCCAGGCTAAATTGCTGCGAATTTTTTCTCAAGTGATTATTAAATACAACTAAATTGGAAAAAAAGAAAAAAAAAGTCCCGCTTGTAGAGAGGAAAGTGTTTAGAGATTTTGACAACAATCTTTTTAAAAAACAGTAAACACACGTGGTGAGCCGGCCGGCACAATTTGCTCACAAATAATATTTCTATTAAAAATACTTTTAATAAATACGGAGAAAAGAAAATATTAAACTTAACCAACAAATTTTCAATATATATTCCCCCTACCTTGGTTGTTTGTCGGTTGTATATCCAATTTTAGCGCTACTACCTCCATTGTCTAAGACAACCACCGCCATGATGCCGTAAAGAAGATTAACTAAACAACGACTGTCGTAAAAATAAAAATTTCCACAAATTCAGTTGACAGTAAAAAATTACGACAGGGTACAATCAGAAACGATATACAAGCCTGTTTAGCCCCATTAATTCGAGAAAAACACAAGATAGATAAAAAAAAATTGCAATTATAATTATTTTCGACACCTGAATTCATCGATGAGAAAAAAAACAAACAAACACATGCTTCAATATTCACTTACGCTCAAACAAAAAGGTATGAATGGATACATGGGTTACCGTTAAGTAGGACTTTTTGTATCTGAAAAAATCATTTTATTCGAAAATAAATTGTTAAATACAATATTCACTCGCAAAAAACAAAACAATTATTCTTAGTTTAAATAACATGTTAAAAAAAAAAAACGAAACAAACCAAACAATCTTTCTTTATTCATGTTTTAAATTTAAAACATCGAAAATAAAACAGCAACAAAAATCAACGCCAGTATTTCTTTATTTTAGCACAAAAATGAAAAATAGAGATTGTAGTTACAATGCAATTTATCTCCCTGCCCGGCCAAATTGTTCTAGTTGAAGTATTTAGCGGAAACACAGTTGAGTTATCTTTAATTAATTGCTCGACACCTGACTCAAGATCTCTAATCGTAGAAAGCATTTATTCGCACACGCCACTCGATTGCCACAAAAAAACCGAGTTTAAAATTGGCATTCCACATGTACATACAATTAGGCCAAAAAAATAAATAAATAAATAAATAAAATAAAATAATAATAATAAAAAAAAAATTGATTAAGCTCCCACGACATTTCCCTTTTGGGTACACCGTAAACACCAGGAATTAAATTCTAGCCCTCTCCCTTGGGAGATGTATATTTTTAATACTATTTTTTACTCAATATAAGGCCCAAGAGCCACTCAAGGTAATGGATTACTGAAGTATGAAGTGTATATTATGAGGATTTGTAGGATAGATAACGGGTGACTCTAGACTCTCGTGAATTTACTTTCTGAATGGAACTTCCTCTTTACCAATGGAAGACGAAGGGTGAATCAATCTTGTGTATGTTGCGTGGCGGGTCCTAGCTGTAAAGGTTTGAACTGGTGGAACTAAGAAATACAGCTAGTCTGAACATTTGCTATGGAAATAGTGATAGGTTGACAACTTTCCGGCTGGGGGAAAAGGGTTGTAGGGTGGAAATAAACTATCACAAATAAGACAGCATAAACTCTGTCAAGGCTGGAAAGTGAAGATTGGGCGGCTTCAACCGAAAACATATATCAGCATTTCTCCAATTTCAATCCGATCTGACTTTTGTAAAAGAGCAGAGCAGGAAGAGTGGAGTACTTTTTGGAACGGTACAAGGAACCCATTCTAAGAGGGAATCATCCTCCTGGAGATGAGCACATTATACATTTTATAAGTTCGATTAAAGTTGTGGAGGTGCCAAGTAGTATATATATATATATATATATATATATATATATATATATATATATATATATATATATAGCAGTAGAGCCCGGCGTTGCTCGGGGATATAACAGTAAGAGATAGATCAAGTATCGACCATCATAAAGACTGAAAAATAAAATTGACAAAGGTTATTGTTTAAGGTTGACGGACACGCATGTCTTAATTAGTTTTTTTTGTTTTGTTTTGTTTTTTTTTTGTTTTTTTTCACGAATTGGTCAAACCCAGACTCAAACAAAAACATTGTTTTCAATCGTTATGAGTCTACCGATTGAATAGAATTTTATTATAAACAATTGTCTTGTAAATGGAATTTTTAAAGCATTCTGAATGTAAAAATAAAGAAAAAAGTGTACAAGACAATAAGAAACACCACCTGCCAAAAAAAAGTGAAGTTTTGTTGAAATTGGTTGAAAAATGTAGGAAATTCGATCCCAGATATAAACACACACACACACACACACGCACGCACGCACACACACACACACACACACACACACACACACACACACACACACACACACACACACACAACCTGGGTTTTATAATAAGTATAACTTGATATGAGTTGTCTCCCTTTCATTCCGCGAAAGCGATACCTCTTAATTGTGTTTTCAAATTGATTTCATGCTAAAACAATTGTGTTTTTCCGATTTTTGGTGCTGTCAGAACCACCGCAAGGTAATTTTACGTAGTCCTGTGAAGTTTTGTTGAAATCGGTTGAAAAATGTAGGAAATCCGATCCAACATATAAACGTACACACACACACACACACACACACACACACACACACACACACACACACACACACACACACACACACACACACAACCTGAGTTTTATAATAAGTATGATATATATATATATATATACGTACACCAGTTCCAGTGGAATTTGGCACAAGGCCGAGTTTAAAGATGAGTTCCACACACATTTGAAAGTAGGGACAAATATTGATCAAGGCCCTTTCAACACGTTGTCTTTGAATTAACCTCAGGTGCCAAGGATTGACACTAGCCCTCTCCTGAAAGATAAGTATTGCCTGAGGGTGATTCTTTTCTTGGTTGTCGAGCACAGCCCCAAATAATAGGTAGTTGGGACCCGCCTTCCCAGGAAAAGTAGAAACAGATCTTCAGTTGAAATAAAATTTATACATTCTTTCCAGAAATACACAATAGCAATAAAATCTTCAGTGAAGTTTGTTTTATATCATAATTAAGTGTTCTTATTGTGTTGCGAAATGTGTGAACAGACTTACTTTACGACGGTCAGCCTAATGTGTTTGTTAGTTCATAGGCAAAGGCTTAGTTGGCGGCCGCTGGTTGATCTCTTCTATTGTGTGCGTGGACAAGGACTTAACCGGCAGCTGCTGGCCGTCGTCTCTTCCATTGTGTGTGTGTATGTGGGTGCGTATGTGTGTACGCACGTGTAGATCAAACTAGCTTCCAAAATTGTTTTAAGCCTCGAGAAACAGTAGGCGTCTATTTTTATTTCCGTAAGGGGGATGCGAAGTTTAGAGGTGTGAGGTCTTTGAATACAAGGTTTTCATTAGTTAGAAAATAATTACATAATTCCACACTGGCGCGAAAATCTTTTCTCGAATTTGCGGCAGTAGCTAAAAGGAGTTGTTATTGTTATTTTCTAAATGGTCCCAAAATAACACATGGTAGGTTTACAACTACGCCTGCCAAGTATTTTACTGGTATTTGCTCCTGTAAAGATTGTTTATCAAACAAATCTTCTGATGGGATTTTATCGGTTGAAAAATCCCACTCGAATGGAATGTGTTTTAAGTCGGAGTCCCACCCGTACATCGCAGCAACAGCAATAGCATCCGAGTGAGGAACAGTTAGTTGCTATTAACTTTTCCTCTATTACACTTCGCAGTAATGAGTGGGATTACACCATTTTTCTGCCAGGGAAAAGAAAAGCACGCAAGTCGTTCTTTCTCTTTTCCTTCTCTCTGTCTCTGTCTCTACCTCTTTACCCAGAGGATATCGTAGGGACAAGACATATTTCGTTTCCCTTCCGGGAGACCCTTTGGTCCTCAGTGAACCTTGTGTCGTACTGTATACAAGGCGGCATACAAATGCGCTAACATGATCTTGACCAACCAAATCTCTTCTCTAATAGATCTCGCCAATAGGACATTATACATATTATACGTACAAATAAGGACATATCTATATACTTTCTTCCCGGCCCACTAATCCGATGAAAACTTTCGTTTGTTGTAAAATATATTCACAACAGGTTTTGTTGCGAAGTGAATTCCTTTTTCAGTGTGTTGTTCACAAGTAAAAGCATATTTTGGATAAGTTTCCAAAAATCTTTCAGCAGACTTTCTTGAAGTGGATTCATTTTGTTTTGCAATAAATTTATCTGCATAGTCAAACGAGCACAAACAAATTCTGCCATTTAGCTAGATGGAACTGTAAGATCCCCCCCCTCACCCCTTAAGAAAGTAAGTCAAAAGTATTGATGCTTTGTAGCATCATCACTATCATTGCCTACTATAACCAGGGAACACATTTCACACTGAAAACATTTAATTTTTTAAAAAAATTTCTGTAAGTATGATTTACTTAATTAAAAATAATTAAAAACAAGTGTGTTTTATTGAATTATTTTTAAATGCCAATTTACTTTATTAAAAAATAAGCTTCTGGTGAAAAGCTTCTGGAATGAGTTACGAATTCTTCCCAAATGCTTTTGCTTCGAGTCAAACGATGTCCGTCAATCGATGTGTTCTGGCGGTATACCAATTTGTAAGCCTTTGAAGTTCTGTAGGCAATTTTGTGCTCATTTTTTTTTTTTTTTGACCCGGAAGACATTTTTTGAAACTTAGTTCTACCTAACAGAGATTGATCCTTCTTATAATCAAGGAAGCCAGCCTTGCTTTAGTTATACCCACTTCGCATACAATTCAACCCTGTCTCCTATAGATTCGATTGGTAGCAAGCGATTTAATTCAACTATAACAGAAGAGAGCTAGGGAAGAAAGGTTTATTCTTCCATTTGAATCCCCCCCCCCATGATGGGCATTATTATATCCATGATATAATAATACTGTATTTCATAGACGGAACGGAATAGCTGAAAGGAAAAGGAATTGTTCTCAGAGTGACTTTTATACCATTAAGACATACACAAAACTATATATACATATATGCACGTGTCCCACGCAGAAAACAAAATATATATATATATATATATATATATATATATATATATATATATATATATATATACAGCAAAGCAGAGTGTAAGGAGAAACAAAAAGGAAGGGTCTTACATACAATATGGATATTCTTCAGAGTTTCTGGAGAAGTCATGTTTAGAACTCCAGATTCAAATGAGCCGGATACATCTATGTCCCAGGCGAGGACATATTCCGCGAACGGGGAACAGCGAGTCCTGGCTTTTTCCAAGTTGAAGACTGCGAGCCGAAGTTTTTTTTTTTCTATATCTGAGGAAGATATATTCCCAAAATGAAACGGCGTCATATGATTGTAAGCTGCTG